AGTGTGGCATCAGGTGTATGTGTCTTGAATATATTAGTGGTGTTTTCAGCGTACTTATATGAAAATTGACGAACGACATGTCTACAATAAAATGAAGGGGTCTCAAGAGTGATCTTTGGAGAACTCATGAAGAAGCACAAGACAGATTAGATTCATCGTTACCAAGAACAACCCTTTATGTTCTGTTATGCGACCAAAGATTGCCATGAATACTACGTCTCTGTAACAATAATTGATAGTCAAAGGTTTAAAGGCAAAGGGGAAAATACCATTGTATATCGACGATTGAACAACTGATTAAATAGTAGATCATATTATTATCTACACCCTCAAATATTGTTCCTATGAGCGGCGTAAGAATATGCAGATCGTCAATCATATTGCCACATACAGGTGTAACAGCTGCAAATTTTAAAGCCGAAAGAAATACACCGCAGTTATACAATTTTATTAAATATAATAAAAAGAGATACAAAGTTCTCCCGTATAATTGAAATGAAATAGTAGGCAGTCAAGGCTACATATTCTGTCCTTATCGAACGAATTTCATCAGTTGACACTTAGAGCCTTCTAAGTGTCTAAAATATAAAGTTTCTACTTTGCGACAAGAGGTCGCTTCGTTTATGAGGGTATTAGGAGAATATAAATTTACTAATTTTTTAATGTTAGTCTGATTATTCGTGAACAAGCAGGTAATATACATTGTGTTTGTAATAACCCCGTGTTAGTTCAACTATAAAATGCACGCTTTATTAGAACATTGAATACGTGTTTTATAAACGCAGTAACAGGCATATTACTTGCGCAATGTTTAATTAATATGTACACGTTGCGTGGCTTCGGTGTCTATGCACTAAGTAATGTTTGAAATGCTCAATATCGTTACAGTACATTAATTGGATGTGACATGTACCTGTTAATAGCATGCCTAGAGTCAGGTGTTTACTTTAGCATGGACAAGCGTACAATGTAGAAGCAACTTATCAGCAACGTAGTCGTGAATGCGCTTTCCATAACATTGTTAATTTCATTGAATTCTGGATAAGGAAAGATTGTAGGCATATGCGTATTTCGCTATTTCTTTTGATATTGAGCACGTATACGATAAGATAAAGTCCTGAAATGAAATATGCATGAAACTTAGCAATAGCAGACTTGATTAGATTTATGTTATGAAGAAAACGGAAAATAACACGTGATTTAAACCAGAATGTAATTTCCTTTCTTTTTTCGTTCATTGTGCAAAATTTTGTTGTTGGTGAATATTAATAGCATTCGGTTAATATCCTCCTGATAGCATGATAACTTCCGTGATCATTAACAGGAAACACAATGCCATCAATATTATATAGTTTCAACTGACGTATGGATTTCGGTTACCGGAAATGACATAAAACGACATCATCGGCGTTGAATGCGATCTCCATAATCCTTATAAAGGCATTCTGCACTGTCTGCTTGTTTCTCATTTCTTTTATGGCCATGCATTATTACCAAAAGTATTGGTGTACTATTCCATTACAATCGTAATACAGAAATGGTACGTTGAAAATGAG